CATGAGACAAGTGCTCGGGCCTGGTGCACTGGGAAGACCCAGAGGGATCGGGTGGAGAGGGAGGTGGGAGGGGGGACCGGGATGGGGAATACATGTAAATCCATGGCTAATTCATTTCAATGTATGACAAAAATCACTGCAATGATGTAAAGTAATTAGCCTCCAACTAATAAAAATAAATGGAAAAAAGAAAAAAAAAAAGAAAAAAAAAAAGGCAGTGCTAAATCCCCACTTGGCAATAATCACCATAAGAGTAAATGAATTTGTCAATCAAAAGACACAGCATGGTTGGAGTATTGCAAAGCAAGACTCAACTATATGCTGCCTCCAAGAGACCTGTCTCAGCTCAACAGAAAAACAGATGCAAAAGAAAGGATAGAAAATGGTACTCCAAGCAGATGGCACCCAAAAGAAGGTTGTGTGGCCATATTTGTATCGGACAAAGTAGACTTCAAGCCAAAAAAAGGTAATGAGAGACAAAGATGGATGTTATATGATGATAAAGGGGATGAGTCATCAGGAAGACTTAACAGTTATTAATATTTATGCACCTAGCATAGGAGCACTCTTTGCGACCCCATGGACTGTAGCCCACCAGGCTTCTCTGTCCATGGGATTCTCCAGGCAAGGTTACTGGAGTGGATAGCCATTTCCTTCTTCAAGGGATCTTCCCAACCCATGGATCGAACTTGGGTTTCCTGCATTGCAGGCATATTCTTTACCATTTGAGCTACCAGGGGGACTTTAAAACTCCACTTACATCAATGAATAGATCATCCAGACAGCAAGGATGTGTTGATGGATGTGTGTGGTCAATTCAAATGCAGTAGAATATACATTCTTCTCAAGTCCATATAGAACTTTCAGGGATAGTTCACATGTTGGGACACAAAACAAGTCACAAGGCATTAAAGAAGATGGAAATCATATCATGCCTTTTCCCCCCAATTACAGTGGTAGGAAAATAGAAATTAACTATGAGAAGAAAGCCGAAAAACTCACAAATATGTGGAGACTGAGGTGGTTCAGTAGGTAAAGAATCTGCCTGCAATGCAGGAGATGCTGGCAGAGACAGGTTTGATCCCTGGGTCCGAAGATCCTCTGGAGGAGGAAATGGCAACCCACTCTAGTGTTCTTGCCTGGAGAATCCCATGGACAGAGGAGCCTGGTGGTCTACAGTTCATAGGGTTGCAAAGAGACACAACTGAGTGACTTGAGCACAAACATGATACTGAACAACTATTGAGTCAAGAAATCAAAGGAGACATTAAAAATTACCTGAAGACAAGTGAAAATATAACATATCAAAACCTATGGGATGCAGGAAAAAAAATACTAAGAGTACAGTTTATAGCAATCCAAGCCTACCTCAGGAAACAAGAAAAATATCAAACAGTCTAACTTTATACCCAAAAGAACTAGAAAAAGAAGAGTAAATGAAACCGAAAGTCAGTAGGAGGAAGGACATAAATATCAAGGTGGGAAGAAATGAAATTGAGATAAAATTAACAAACCTTTAGCTAGGCTAAGAAGAAAAAATGACAAAGCTCTGATAAATAAAACCAGAATTGAAAAAGGAGAAATACAGTGATACTACAGAAATACAAAGGATTAGATGAGAATATTATGAACAGTTACATGCCAATTACCTGGACAGCCTAGAAGAAATGGAGAAATTCTTAGAGTCATATAACCTGCTAGGACTAAATCATGAAGAGATGGTAACCCACTACCATCAGACCAGTCAAATAGACCAGTCACTAGTAAAGAGAATAAAACAGTCATCGAAGATGTCCCAAAAAACAGAAGTCAAGGACCAGACAACTTCTCAGGTGAATTCTATGCCAAGCATTCAAAGAAGGTTTAATACCTCTACTTTTCAAACTCTTCCAAAGAATTGAAGAGGGGGAAACACTTTCCAGCTCATTTTACAAGGTTGTCATCATCTGATGCCAAAACCAGACAAAGACAGCACACACACACAAAGAAAATTACAGACCAGTTATCTCTGATGAACATTAACCCTCAAGTGTGAAAGTCACTCAGTCATGTCTGACTCTTTGTGACCCCATGGACATACATGGAATTCTCCAGACCAGAATACTGGAGTGGGTAGCCTTTTCCTTCTCCAGGGGATCTTCCCAACCCAGGGATCTAACCCAGATCTCCTGCATTGCAGGCAGATTCTTTACCAGCTGAGCCACATATTAGCAAATACATTTAAAGGATCATACATTATGATCACTCCAGTATTCTTGCCTGGAGAATCCCATGGACAGAGGAGCCTGGTGGGCTACAGTCCATGGGGTCGCAAGAATCAGACACAACTTAGTGACTAAACCACCACCACCACCACATTATGACCAAGTGGGATTTATTCCAGGGAAGGAAAGATGTTTCAGCATCCATAGATCAATTAGGGTGAAATAATGTGGCTAACAGGATAAAGGATAAAAATCATCTCTATATATGTGGTAAAAGCATTTGACAAGATTCAACATCTGTGATTTTAAAAACTCTATAAAATGGGTATAGAGGGAACATGAAAGTGAAAGTGTTAGTCACTCAGTCACACCAGTTCTTTGCGACCCCATGGACCATAGCCCTCCAGGCTCCTCTATCCATGGAATTCTCCAGGCAAGAATGCTGGAATGGGTAGCCATTCCCTCTCCAGGGGATTTTCTCAACTCAGGGATCAAAAAACCTGGGTCTCCTGCATTACAGGCGGATTCTTTACCATCTCAGCCACCAGGGAAGCCCCAAAGTTCCATTTTCTCTCCATTGTTGACTTCTCAGCTATTCTTTTTTTCTTTTCTTTTTTTCCTTTTTAAAAAAATTATTTTAGTCATTGCTGTAGGATTTATACATATGTCTTCTACTTATCACAGTTTATACTGTTATTTCACTTTTTGTCTTAGAGTTTCCATTTCGTCCTCTTGTCTTTTGTGCTAAGTAAAATGTATTACAAGTCCCACAGTAAAAATGTTGCTGTTTTTGGCTTTAAATAATTATCTTTCAAAGAGATTTTCTTCTAATGAGGAAAAATGTCTTATATATTTATCCATACACTTATTTTTTAAAAATTATGTACTTCATTTTGTTTTAATTGTTCCAAAGTCAATGAGAAGGACCTGGAAGGATTAGATGCAGGATGGGGAAGGAATGATCTATGAGGCTCCATAGCCGCTGTAAAGGCATGGGCCTTGACACGGATGGATGGCTTCTCTGTTTCAATAGAAGGGCAATGAAGAGAGAATGCACATATGAGTAAATTTGTGTTTGGCATCAGGGTAATGAATTTCATTTCTCATGGCTTCCTTTTCTTTCCTTGTAAGTGAGACTGAGGAAGGAAATAGAGGATCAGAAGATAATCCTGCTGGAAATAGATAGTGCACTGGCCAGAGAACTGTACCAGGATTACAGGCTTTCTGATGGTCCTTTGGTGATGATGAATTTACTGCAAAACTGATGTACCCTGTTCCATGTGACTTTCTCTATGCTTTTGGCAACTTGGGTTCAGATAAGAATGGAATTAATGAGTTGACGTTTTGATACTGTGGGAAATTAAAGGGAAGAAGACTCAGGTATGGCAGAGCGTTACTGAGTTATAGGCTTTGTTTGGGCTCTAGGCAGGACTAAAGCTCTGTTCCAGACGCGCAGCTGTAACAGTTGAACGAGCAAGGGAGAAAGAGGAGCTGAGATGCTGGGACTTTGGAGGTGCGGCTGAGATGCAGCAGTTACGGGTGATGATGAGAGGGGCGCTGTGACCTGGAGGAGCGGATAGTTCAGGAAGACTGAGGAGATCTTGGAAGGATGGAGGAACGGGAAGGCTGAGGTGACCTGGGATGGCTCTGGGCTGGTAAAGGACACTACCAGTTAGTCGCCCAGGCCTTTGAAGAACGAGGACCAGCCTGGCAGGTCAGCCCCTGGCAGGTATGTTCTAATTTGGCTTTCTTTGTTGTTGTTGATTTTTGATAGGAAGCGGTGACAGCTGTATAAACTTTGTTTCTAGTGATTATTCTTCAGAAATCTCTCAAAATGGGCAGCAATCTCAGGACGTACAGAAAAAAGAAACATTTCCTAAGTTAGTTGAAGAGTCCATCTGGAGAATGATAAAGCAGACACCTGACTGCATTCTAATGACGTATCAGGTGCCTGAGAGGTAAGAAGCATGTTGGAAGACCCACCTTTATATAAGTGTTCTGTGGTTTCTTGTGTTTTTTAATACAAAGTGATTTTAGTATTTTTATACATATCCTCAGAGATATGTATTTTCAAATTCATTGATTTGAAGTCAAATGGTGAATGATTTCTTAAAACAATGGTTGTGGTGGAAGTGGATGCAAATGTTATGTGTCATAAGGTGAAAACAAAGAGAGGCAGTGCTTTCCAAGATGGCTCACAGGTACATGAACTATTTTTAGAGTCTGGACTTTATTTTTCTCATTCTAAAAGAAGATCTAAAGGAAACCTTTCTTCCATATGACTCATTAAAACTCATTAAGCAGGTGTTTTCCATCAAGAAAAAGAGGTCTAGCTTTACCAACTTGACAAAGAAATGAGTCAGTTTTTTTTTCAATGTGAGATATGAAATCATACTTTAATGAGAGATTTGAAGTATGTTGCAAACCAAAATGAAGTGTTGGTCTTGGATGACAAGATAAGAACCCTGTGCCTTATTTAAGACTGTGAAGCTTTTGTTTGTCCACTTTTTTGTTTTCAGGGTTAAAGAAATTGTACTGAAAGAAGACCTAAAGAAGCTGGAAAGCATGAGACGGCAGCAGCCACAGTTTTCTCTAGGGCAGAGGGAGGAGATAGCCAACGTGCATTCCTGGATTCGGTGCCAGACGATCCCTCAGGAAATAGACACCCAGGTAAGCACAGTAATAACAGCTGTCATGTGCTGATGGCTTTGTGCCGGCCAGTGTTCTGGGCTCTGGCTGTACCCTTGTCCCTTGGTGTCTGCAGGGGACTGGTTTCAGGACCCCCGGTGGCTTCCAAAATCCACGAATGTTCAAGCCCCTCACGTGAAACAGCGTAGTATGTGCATATAACCTGTGCACATCCTCCTTGAGGCTTTCCTGGTGGTTCAGACAGTAAAGAATCCCCCCGCAGTGCAGGAGATCTAGGTTCAATCCCTAGGTCAGGAAGATCCCCTAAAGAAGGGAATGGCTACCCACTCCTGTACTCTTGCCTGGAGAATTCCATGGACAGAGGAGCCTGGTGGGCTGCAGTTCCTGGGGTCACAGAGAGTCAGACACAACTGAGCGACAAACACTTTCACTTTACTTCACTATGCAGTCCTCCCATACATCCTAAATCATCTGCAGATTACTTATAATACCTAATCCAGTGTGCTGCTGCTGCTGCTAAATCGCTTCAGTTGTGTCCGACTCTGTGAGACCCCATAGACAGCAACCCACCAGGCTCCCCCGTCCCTGGGATTCTCCAGGCAAGAACAATGGAGTGGGTTGCCATTTCCTTCTCCAGTGCATGAAAAGTGAAAGAGAATTCGCTCAGGTGTGTCTGACCCTTAGCGACCCCATGGACTGCAGCTCACCAGACTCCTCCGTCCATGGGATTTTCCAAGCAAAAGTACTGGAGTGGGTTGCCATTGCCTTCTCCATAATCCAGTGTAAATGCTGTTTCAATAGTTGTAAATTCAATGTGCATGCTATGTAAATAGTTGCCAGTGCATGGCAAATTCAAGTTGTGCCTTTTAGAACTTTCTGGAATTTTCATCCCCAAATGTTTTGGATCTGTGGTTGCTTGAATCTGTGGATGTGGAGCGTGCAGATACAGAAGGCCCACCATGCATTGCATTATTCCACTGGAAACCTTACTTCTCACAACTTCCTCTGTGGGAGGTCTTATTACCCCAATTTTACCAATAGCAGCAAAGTGAGGCCTTGTGTATCATGGATCAAATTTCAGTTCCACGGTAAGGATGTGAACCCTTGAGTGCTGACTGGACTATGTCGTTTTGTGTAAGGATGTGAACATCCATAGATTTTCACAGCCTCAGGGCTCTGGAGCCAAGCCCCCTGCACAAACTGAGACACAACCGTGTAAGTTCACACGGTTCATCGGACTTTAAATACAGGTCTTTCTGACTCCAAGTGGCTTTTTCTCTCACCAGTTGGAATGTTATGGGCGAATTAGGAATAAAGACACCTGGTTTGATCCGTGCTTGACTGGAGAGGAGAGTATAAGATTTGCATGTCAAATACACATGCATGTTTGAAAAGAGTTCAAACTCACGATGTTAGATTCATGCCAGAGGTAGGATTTCTGTGGATAGAATATATGAAGAATGAGCCCCAGAACAATTCAAGCAAAAGTATTTAAATGATTACTGTCATTTACCTTCTAATAATGAAGAATGAAGTATAATAGATAGTCTTATTAAATATAGTTAAATAAATTAAATTAAATAAATATAGTATAAATAAGTAATAGATAGTCTTATTAGATAAATTATGTGGGGGAATTAGACATAGGTTGCTCGGCCAGCATTTTACTGATTTTAGAACTTTGCAGATGACTTGACATCAACTAACCTACCTACTCTTGTCCCCCTTTGGAGGGCTGTGTCACCTGCAGACACAGAGACTCAGCTGGTGATGCTGCAGACCCCAGGGTCTGGGTCCCACAGGAGCAGCAGCCGATGACCCTGAAGAAGGCCCTGCCCTGCCTCTCCAGACCCGCCGGACTGCTCCTCCTCCCTGTGATTCTCTGAACCCTTGCGGCTTAAGTGACCAAGAAGCTGTCATTGAATGTTGAGGCTTTCCCTTCTTGATTTTTTAGCAGACATCATTTTCCTGAAGCAGACGTTGTATATAGACTCTTTCACTCCTCTTTTTTCCCAATGTATTTAAACTGTCGAATAGACTCTTTTTCTAGTTTATTAGCTGTCCTTTAATGAGACTGGATGGCCTCTAAAGAGGTATGTGTACAGCCAAACTTCATTTCAGGTGTCACCCCAAATAAATTGTAATTAGGAGTATAGCAAGAAAAAACCCAAACGTTAGCCTCATTGGTTTTGTTCTGTTGTTAGGTGAATCATTTCCTCCCCAACCAGTAGAGACTTGAAGAAATCCCCACTGGAGGTCACATACCTTTCCCGACAGTCTCCATAACCGTGTTGCCCTCACCTAGTCTTCACACAGTAACATGTGCCTCCACAGTTAAGCTCCAACATTCCAGAGTTCTCACAACACAGGTCACTCCAGCATTTACCAGTATGAAAACATATTGTTCATTGGTATCCTGGAAATTCCTAGTTTTTAGGGTTGAACTTCGATGTTCATTCTTGTAGATGCTTTTCCTTTTTGATTTTCTGCCTTCCACTGAAATCCTGGAAGTCTTTTTAAACATAGATCAGCTTGGGCTTCCCTGGTGGCTCAGTGGTAAAGAATCCACCTGCCAGTGCAGGAGACAGGGGTTTGATCCCTGATGCAGGAAGATCCCATATGCTGTGTAGCAGCTAAGCTCGTGTGCCGCAGCTATTGAGCCTGTGCCCTCGAGCCCGGGAGCCACAGCTACTGAAGTCCACTTGCGCTAGAGCCTGTGCTGCACACCAAGAGAAGCCAGCGCAGTGAGAAGCCCATACCCGCAGCTGGAGGGTAGCCCCACTCACCACGACTAGAGAGGAGCCCATGCCGCAACCAAGACCCAACACAGCCATGAATAAATAAATATATTAAAAAAAAAAAATCAGCTTACAGTGGGCTTATTCCTTGAAGGGTGTAAATTAGCTTTTGCATGTGTAATGTTAAAAACAAAAGAGCTTCTAGCTCAACCAGCTTCTGACTCATCTCTTCTTACATTTTTAAATAATGATTGTAAATGTTTTTAAAGTTATGTAAGTTCTTATGCATGTGTGTTTAAATGTTGTCCTATCCAAACTAACAATTCACTCTTTCTTTTTTAACCAATTTATGCAAAAGGAGGTCTCTCCATCCCTGCCAGAGGTCTGATGGCCACTGTCTTCTGTTTGCCCCTAAATAAAGGTGAGTGTTGCCCTTCCTTAAGTAGGGGTGAGGGGTCGCTGGGAGGGCCCTCCCGGCGGGAGTGCCAATCTGCCACAAATCAGGGCTTCCTGGGCCTGCTGTAGTCATTCTCCTGAGTACCACATGAGTTGTTCACTTGATAAGTGAGCCCTCTTGTTAGAGAGTTGATGATTCCTTCTCAAACCTGAAAGGGTGTGCAATTCACACCCATGCAGGTCAGAACCAGGAATAGAAGAAAATGAAGACCCCAGTAACCTTTTCTCATTTAAATAACATGCAACAAACTAACTTACTTTTCTTCTTTTGTTGTTGTGTTTTTTAGGAAAATGCTTCTTCCTTTCAAGTTTTATAGCTTTTCATAAAATGCATCCTGATTATAATCAGGAGAATTGACCTTTCTATCCACGATGCTACTGGACCCTGACCTGAGACTGAAGCCCACAGCTTAGATTTACTTTCTAAAGTAGAACACTTGGCCCTTGGTATCTGCAGGGGTTGGTTCCAGGACACCCCACAGATACTAAAATCCGTGGACACTCAACTCCCTTCTATAACAGGAAGGTTCGCCAGCCCTCTGTACCCGTGGGTTCTGCATCCAGAGTTCTCTACCCTCCCCAGTTCTTCCCACCTCAATCACAGCGGCTGACTGTAGTTTCCAGAAGGTACTTCTTTCTCCAACTGTCAGAATCACTTTGAAACAATGACTGTGACTTTTCTAGAATTTTCTCACTTGAAGCTGCTCCATGCCCATATTCCTGTCTTAGGCTTAGAGAACTCTCCTGTTCTGCTCCATCTTGATTGTTAAATGATCTCTGAAGCCCTCATTGCTTTGGTCAAGTTGTGTGATATTTTTGTCCTTGGTGAAAAATCAAATTTTAAACAGTGAACCAGCCTGGATATTGTCAAGGATAGAATCATTGCAGCCTTCTATGCTGATGACCATTTAAACCTGTTTAAATCAGAAATGACACGGAGCAGTCAGAGAACCATTCTGCATCTCCATAAGCACTTTTTAAACATGATCTTCCCTAGTACAAGCCCTCTTTTAGATTTCTTTCTGGATATTTGTTTTATTGACAGTTAACTATTTCTTTGCCTTGCTATACATTTAGGCTCAACTTAAAATTGGTGCTTGTTATAAGCAGATCTATAAAACCAGTTATAGTTTTGGTGTTTTGGTAAATAGCTGAGCTGGTGTATTTAGAAATGACCATGATGCTTCTGCTTCTGGGGATGAGCAAAGAAGGCTCCACAGTGCCAGCTTCTCCCCACCACCGGGGCTTCACCCAACTGTAAACCATTGTTCAAGTTTAGTAACTTTTTGTATTGATGCCTATAGAAATCGGTAATAAAAATGTGTACTACAGGTTTCCATGTTGACATGAATGTTACCAAAAGGCTGTGTTTTCTTAGATAAGAGGTCAGAATTTATGAACAACAGATGCTGTGTGAATGGAATCATTTTACAATTAAGTGCAACTTCATCATAACTCAAAAGGTAAATTTAATCCAAATGGAAATTTTGCATCAGCCAAGTTTATCTTTGTGTGGATTTCCCTGTTTTTAATGGTTATTAATATTTTAATAAGGTATCTTTTTTAAGCAAAAACAATGAACGGTGTACATGTAAAACTTGAGAAATTTTTTGCACTGCATGAATAAACCTTTGCCCCGAATACATAAATCACTTATATCATTGAGAAGTATTTATCATTGAGAAGTATTTCGTGAGATTGAGACACACTGCAGGGTGCTCACGTTAGGGGCATTCTGCACCCATGTCTGTGTCATCACTGCGTCCAAGCTCCTTCTCAATGACAACATGGCACTCAGTCCTCCCTTAAGAACTGGGCTTTCACTATCTCCTGGAGCTTGCTCAAACTCGTGTCCATCGAGTCAGTGATGCCATCCAACCATCTCATCCTCTGTCACCCACTTCCCCTCCTGCTGTCAATCTTCCGCAGCATCAGGGTCTTTTCCAGTGAGTCGGCTGTTTGCATCAGGTAGCCAAAGTATTGGCGCTTCATCTTCAGCATCAGTCTTTCCAATGAATATTCAGGGTTGATTTCCTTTAGGGTTGACTTGTTTGATTTTCTTGTAGTCCAAGGGACTCTCAAGAGTCTTCTCCAGCACCGCAGTTCAAAAACATGGATTCTTTGGCACTCAGTCTTCTTGATGGTCCGACTCTCGCATCCATACATGACTACTGGAAAGCCATAGCTTTCACTACATGGACTTTGGCAGCAAAGTGATGTTTCTGCTTTTTAATACACTATCAAGGTTTGTCATAGCTTTCCTTCCAAGGAGCACATATCTTAATTTCATGGCTGTAGTCACTGTCCGCAGTGTTTTGGAGCCCAATAAAAGAAAATCCCTCACTGCTTCCACTTTTTCCCCTTCTATTTGCTGTGAAGTGATGAGACTAAATGACATGATCTTAATTTTTTGAATGTTAAGCTTTAAGCCAGCTTTTTCACTCTCCTCTTTCATCCTTATCAAGAGGCTCTTTAGTTTCTCTTCACTTTCTGCCATTAGAGTGGTATCATCTGTGTATCAGGGGTTGTTGATCTTTCTCCCAGCAACCTTGGTTCCAGCTTGTGATTCATTGAGGTAGCATTTCACATGATGTACTCTGCATAGAAGTTAAATAAGCAGGGTGACAAGGTACAGCCTTGACATTCTCCTTTCCCAATTTTGAACCAGTCTGTTGTTCCATGTCCAGTTCTTACTGTTGCTTTTTGACAGGTTCTCAGCAGACAGGTAAGGTGGTTTGGTAGTCCTATCTCTAATAATTTTCTGCAATTTGTTGTGATCCACACAGTCACAGGCTTTAGCATAGGCAGTGAAGCAGAAGTAGATGTTTTTCTGGAATCCCTTTGCTTCCTCTTTCATCCAACAAGTGTTGGCAATTTGATCTCTGGTTCCTCTATTTTTTCTGAATCCAGCTTGTACATCTGGAAGTTCTTGATTCACATACTGCTGACACCTGGCTTGAAAGACTTTGAGCATTACCTTGCTAGCATGTGAAATGAGTGCAATTGTATTTTAATGCCTAATTTATAAAATTTAGCTATCTAAGTTACTCTTTCAGATTCTGTAGCGTGAACCTGTGTTTCACAAAATCTGACTGTGGAACCCGGCAGCAACAGTCTCAGAATTAAAATATGAATTGGGATCCTGAAGCCAACAGGATTTGTTAAACATCACCCCTTTCAAACCACCTGCACCTCCAGTCACAAAAAAACAACCCAGGAAGGGAAGAGAGTGTGTGCTCTGCCCACAGGGACTGTTCTGGTGCTTCCCTGTGAATTATCTCATTTAATGTTCGCAACCACCCAGGAAATATGTAGTGTCACTGCTCACATTTGATGGAGAAGGACACGGGGGTGGTGGGGGTTGGATGACCTGCTTGAGGGCTCACAGCTGTGTGGTCACAGGGACCTGACTCCAGAGCCCTGGCAGTAAGAGCAGTCACCATGTGTCTGTCACAGAACAGGAGGGGTTTCGGGTTCTACTGCAATGATGAAATCCACCCTGACCTCTTCCTGGCATCATAAACATTTTGTAGCCTGTGGTGCTAGAGTCCTGTGTTAGGGGATTGAATTCAGTTGAACTTCAGCATCAAGCGATGCTACAGCATCCTCCCAGCCAGCATGGTCCTGAGATGACACATCCATCCTTCAAGTTTAAAACAACCTGCCGTACTGATATGTTCTTGATGCCTCAAATAAGGAAAGGGAAGATTTATCAGACCTGCATTCTAAAGAGATACTGGAGGACTGTTGACAAGATCAGTACCGATTATGTGGCTATTTGGCACAGACCTGACCCTTCATTCCTTGTGAGTTTGGGGTGTGGTTGGCAGAGCAGAGAATGGGAACCCCAGTTTCCGAGGAGAAGCACTCCTGCCATGGGCATGGGCCATTCAGTTCTCATGCTCCATACTCTATACAGAGATGAGCTACGTCAATATATTAAGAGGATATAATGTATTAAGAGGATAAGTTAGTATCTGCACACACACACATGGTTTTAAAAATTTAGTAAATCAGGCTATTTCTTCCATTCCACAATTTAAATCCCACCTCCACTTTCTTCTCTAAGGAACAGATTATGAAGGTATTTTTTCCAGTATTGTGATACTTGAGCTCACAGCAACTGAGATCGAACAGACTTCAGTGTTCAGAGATTAAAGTTTTCACTTGTTCAATACTCAGACCAGCTAAGGAGAGGGGATCTGAGCGTGTGGACATTTTCCATCAGAAACTAAGGAGAATTCAGACGGTTTCCAGCCCTTGTCCTTCAGCATCCTTCACTGTAGAGCTTTTTCCAAGCTTAGATATGGATTTTTTTTAAGTAATAACTTACATTGTTATTTGTAAGGGTTGAGAGGACATCATTGCTAAGATAATGTAGTTTAAATGATTTGCAGTTTTACTATTTTAAGTAAAATTTACAGTTATGACTTTTTCTTCTTAGTATTTGCTTCTGTTCATTTAATTGTTTACTTTTAAACTTTTGGATAATTCTTTAAGGATTAATTGATAGAAAGAAAAAAATATAGGGGCTTCGCTGGTGGCTCAGTGGTAAAGAATCCACCTGCCAATGCAGGGGACATGGGGTTGATCCCTGATCCAGAAAGATCCCTCATACCGCGGAGAAGCTAAGGCTGGGAGCCACAACCACTGAACCTGTGCTCTGGAGCCCGGGAGCCGTAACTGCAGCCTGTGTGCCCCAGAGTCCGCGCTCCGCAACAAGAGAAGCCACCACAATGACAAGCCTGTGCACACAACTAGAGAGGAGCCCCGCTCACGTCAACTAGAGAAAAGCCTGCACAGCCACGGAGATCCAGAAGAGCCAAAAATAAAGAAAATTATTTTAAAAAAGAAAAAGTACAGATTTTCAGGGTACCTTTTTTTTGTTTGTTTGTTTTTCAGGATACGTTTTTAAGTAAAACAACCACTCGTAATGTCTGCAAAACATAGAGGATTTATTTTCCAAATAATAATGAACAGTGTCTAGCTTGCCTAGTTTTTCATCTATACTGCTTTCAAATCCAGCATTTTTATTTTGCATTTTCCAGGTGGTCGTCTTGGAGGTGACTAGTAGATGGTCATTTTGCTTCAGACACAGTATTTCCAGAAGCATTCAGAGGAAGGTCCACGTTTCTTAGATTGCTTCCTGATTCTGGACAAAAGTTCCCTCAGGAAAAGCTTAGGATCCTGCCCAGAGAAAGCCTGAAATTAAAACAGTAGGTTATCAATTCATTGAGTATTACACACACACACACACACACACACACACACACACAAGAACCTTACTCAGGAACAGGACCTTTAAAAGGGCTTTCTTCCCCAGAGATAAATCCACGAACCTATGGATACCTTATCTTCGACAAAGGAGGCAAGGATATACAATGGAAAAAAGACAACCTCTTCAAAAGTGGTGCTGGGAAAACTGGTCAACCACTTGTAAAAGAATGAAACTAGAACACTTTCTAATACCATACACAAAAATAAACTCAAAATGGATTAAAGATCTAAATGTAAGACCAGAAACTATAAAACTCCTAGAGGAGAACATAGGCAAAACACTCTC